TTTGGGGCTATTATGAACACTACTACTATGAACATTTGTGTACAAGTTTTCGTGTGAGTTTATGTTTTCATTTCTCTTGGGTATACACCTAGAAGTAGAATTGCTGGGTCATGTGGTACCCCCGCGTTTAACCATTTGAGGAACTGCTGACTATTTTCTCTACAACCTCACCGACATCTGCTATTATCTGTCTTTTTGATTACATCCATCCTGTGAGTATGAAGCAGTATCTCACTATGGTTTTGATTTGTATTTTCCAGATGGTTAATGACGTACAGCATCTTTTTATTTGTTTACTGGCCATTTGCATGTCTTCTTTGAAGAAATGTCTAATCAAATCCTTTTCCCATGTTTTAATTGAGTTATCTTTTTATTTTTGAAGTGTAAGAGTTCTTTATATACTCTGGATACTAGACTTTCAACAGATTAATATGATTAGCTTATACTGAACCCTGGCAGCATGAAGACAGGATAGGAAAAGAAACTCTCATACACTGCTGGAAGAAAGTAAATACAGTAACTACTCGTAAAACAATTTGCATTATTTAGTAAAGTTACAGACGGGCATACCCTACAACAAGCAACCCCACTCCTACCTGTATACCCAAGAGAAACTCTTGCACTTGGAAAATTTTACAAAAATGTTCGCAGCAGCACTGTCTGTAATGATCCCCCCAAAAAGGAAACAATCAAACGTCCAACAACAGAAAAAGAGAAAAATAAGCTATAAATGAATTCTGTCAGTAGGCAGGTACCACCGATAAATATATTTACATAACAGAATATTACTCAGCAGACTAAATGAGTGAACTGCAGCTACCGGCAATATGGATGAAATTTAGTAATATAGTTATAAGTGAAAAAAGTCACCCAAAAAAAAGAAACAAAACCAATATAGTATAACGCCATTTATATAAAGGTCAAAAACATGCAAAAGTAAACAACCTGTTTTTTGGCATTGTATACATATAAAGTTACATTACCAAGAAATGCAAAGAAATGATAGACATAGAATTCAGGATGGTGGTTACATCTGAGGAGAAGAAAGGGGAATCTAATCAGGAAGAGGCACACACAGGTATCAACGGTACTGGTAGTATTCTACCTTTAGAGCTTTATACCAGCAAATTACAAAGTTGTGATATATTTCATAAACCTTACTTAAAAGAGCTACACTGACAACTGAAGATATTCCTAATATAGGAAGACACTGAAGCAGTTCAATCCCTATATACACAATACAGGAGTATTACAATGAACCAAAGGCTATACGTAAACAATATTATCAAATATTTTAACCCAAAAAAGTATATGCTTTGTAGAAACTGAGAAGATGGATTCCCTCCCCTTTCCTGCTTTCCATCTTTGCATAAGCCTCTGTCCTCCTGACCCTACCTTCACTTCCATGACCTGGATTAAACACCACCACATCCAGGAAATTCTACCACTCAATCTATCAACCTGTGGGTACTCATCCTCCTCTCAATGCCCATAGCATTCGTGTAGCTTCAAGGCCCCCGTCATGTTATCCCTGGACTGCACATGACTTAACTTCTCTATCAGAGATAAGCACCTGAAGAAGTAGGAAACCAGCCACAACAACATGAGTTGAGCTTAGAGAAGGCACTACATTTTTGTTGTTGTTGTTGTTGACTACCGAATCAATTAGAAAATTTACGCATTTAGAGGGGGTTGAGTAGAGAAACTAGAACTGCTCTTGTAAAATACACACAACCAAAACCTGAAGGATTTAAAATCTGACTCTCTGGAAAACCATGTCAACCTTAAAACTCTTCAATACAGCGAAGACAAGGTTGACAACAGTCAGCTAAAATATCAAACGTTTACAGTGCATATACTGATCATTTTCTATATTCGCAATGGGCAGAGCAAGAAGGTATAAGAACTTCTTGAAAGATTATTTACCACCAGAACAGTCTACCGGTTTAGAAAATGTCTTGACGTCAATCACATAACTAGAAAACGGGGGACTTCTAAAATATATTTTACAGAAAAAAATAACATATGCCATTTCAAGACTCAAATTTAGATGACTTCAAGAAACTGTGGCACATTTGTTTTGCTTTTAGATATCTACACGGTTTATGTGCGAATCAATTATGCACCTAAATATCGTGTTATTACTGCAGAAGTGAAACCGCTACACAGAATAGAATCCACAAATGAAACAGTGGCACTCCTCCAAGGAGGGGACACGACTGAGAATAACCAGGGGGTTCTGACTGGTTAAACCAATTCATTCCCACCTGTGCTTTGAGCTAATTTCTTCCTGGAGCTAACTTAAAAGAGTAAAAAATGTTGGAGCTAGGGTTGCCAGATTTAGCAATAAAAATGCAGTACACCCAGTTAAATATGAATTTCAGATAAACAATCAATAATGTTTAGTAGAAGTATGTCCCACGCAATATTTATACAAAAACTTACTCATTGTTTATCTGATATTCAAATTTAACTGGACACCCTGTATTTTACCTGGCAGTCCTAGCTGGAGCCAAAAAGATGGAGCAGCGCTCAATCCCATTTCCTCACTTTGTAGAAGAAACTGAGACCCAAGGAAGCAAAGTGACTGAACTAAGCTTAAACTAAGATTAAGGAAGCGAGTTTGCTTTGAAAAGAGAAAATATATCCCATTAGGTCACCTTCAGTCCCACTCAAGGTCCCTTCCATCTCCAATTCTGTCATCCCACGCAAGCAGCACCAAGTGGGCACGCTATGAAAGGGTATGGTTCTCCTCTTTAACATCAAGCTTCAAGTTTCAGTAAATTCTTTATCAACTCTAGTTTCCCAAAGCAACAAATTAGGACATTACGCACTTCGCTTAACTTCAAAAAAATCCTTGTAACTTTTCTGCCTACACACCACCACCTCAAATTCTGTTTATTTTTCACTATATAAAACAGGCTCTCCTTTCCTCCTAAACGTAGCTCTCTAAAAATACAAAACGCCTTGCTCCAGGGTTTCAAGATTTAGTAAAAGAGTATGTTCACATCACTCCATGAATCTAATGATTTTATTTCACATACTCTCTCGGCTTTCATGTTTCACGGTCTCAGATACATGCCTTCCAAAAAGTCAGTCACTCATTCAGAAACAAGCAGAAGAGGCCTCATTATTACAAACATACTTACTTCCCCTGGGACTGGGAGACAAGCAAAGACGGAAAGAGAAAACTCTTTATTGGAAACTTGGGAGCCTTTTTCCAGCATATACATGAAGAATATGCTAATTGTGCATGACACACAGCTGGACAAAATAAAGGGAAAAATAACAGAAAACTCTACACACGAAAGGAGTAATCTTTCAGATCCCATCACATTAATACACAAAACATTTCCCCAACTCAGCACGGGTTCTCAACCTGTCATCTCTGGGGGGCTTGGGGGTCGTCTGAAGAGAAACAGGGAAGTAGACAAAGATTTCATTTTTATCTTTTTTACAAACTGCGCTTCCAAATAAGGTTTTGTTTCAAGAAAGGGTTCCACTGCATTAAAAAAAAAAAAAAAAAAGCCAAATAATGTCTAAGCTCTACTATGGAAATTAAAAAAAAAAAAAAAAAAAAGAAAGGAAAAATCAATAATATAAACCACTATGACTTTCCTTAATACGTTTCCTATTAAACACTTCACCCCGGTGAACAAGAATCCAAATCGTTTCACACAAAAACAGATTTTTAAAACAAACAAAAACTTAGCAATTAAAAGACAAAATATCTACCTAGGCTTTCCCTGTGGCAGCTCCCAATGTACGCAGGTCTCTCTCGAGTTTACAAAATGTCAGACGGGGAAGGTCCTCACAGATGACCTAGCCGAACTTTGATTTTACAGATGTGGAAACGCAGGCCAAGGACCAGGCTGACTCGCCCAAGGTCTCGCAGCCCGTCCGGGGCGAGACTCAAACTGGAACCCCAGGCTGCCAGCCCAGGGCTGCTTCCACCCGCAGCGCCGGCCTGGCCCTCTGGCTGAGCGCCCGACAGAGCCGACGGGCCCGCCCCGGCCCGCCCCAAAGGCAGACGCGAGCGCGGGCGGAAGGACCCGCGAGTCCCGTTCGCCGCCGCCAGTCCGCCCGCTCCGCGCCTGGACTCCGACCTGGGAGCTGGAAGGACCGGGCCTCGGCGGCCGCCTCCGCCCTGCCCACCTGTCGCGGGCCGCGCACCCAGCAGCCACACCCACTCCCGGCACCGGGAGCTCGGCCCGGCCTCGGCAGCCGGCGACAACCGCTCCGCGCGGCTTGGGACGCCCCGTGGGAGGCCGCAGAAGTTACCTCAGGGGGGCGCGGAGCTCGCGGCTCGGCGGTCCCAGCCCGCCTCCAGCATGCCGGATACGCGAACGCAGCAAGGCGCAGCACGGCCGCCACGGCGCCTGTTTACACCCCTCCGCGAGAGGACGCGACTTGCCCGTCACGTGACGGTCGCCTCACGTGGTCTCCCGGGGGTTGGGCGGAGGTGTTGCCGTGGCAACGACAGCGCGCTGGGAGCCGGTGGGCTGCGGTGGTTCGGCGGCTCGCTGCGCCCGCCTCTGGGCGGCCCGGAGGCGGGAGCTGAAGCATCTTGGCTTACCGTGGACGGGCGGGGGAAAGACTCGCTCGGCTTTGGCTTCGTGCTTTAGGACTCTGGGCGTGGCTGCACGTATTAGTATTTCGGAAGGAGAAGGGAAGGTGGGCTGGCATTATGTTGAACTTGGAGAAGAAAATGGAAAACACTTCTTTATCCGATGGACACAAATGGAAGGGTAGCGGGGAAGTGAATAATAACGGTTTTGTTTACCTAAGCGCACAGACTGTTGTTTGCTTTAGCTCCTTAATCCGGAGTGAAAGGCTGTGGCTCACAGCCTACCCTTTCAAACCAGAGAAAGGTTTATGGGACTTCCAACTTTTATTGTATATTTTATTATAATTTTCATGAGGATTAGTCTTTGCATGTTGAAATACAGACATGTCTAAATATTTGATTTGGCATTCGGTCAAACTTGACTGATTATAGCTCTGTCATTTTTAGTGACTGTTTATACCAAGTCCAGTTTTCCTGGATCAAAGTTTGCAGAAGTGAAGTTTCAGCCACTGTTAATTTTATTTTCTCCCAAAATATTCATTATAAGAATATTAAAAACTAATTGTATTACTTTTTAGTAAATTCATGAATGAATTGTGAGCAAATCCCCTCAAATATTCCAGAATTGTTCTGTTGTCAAGTTCTTCCCTACAATTGTAAAAATCACTTTGCAAGAACAAATTGTCGGGTCAAAATCCACCAAAACCGATTGCTGTCAATTTCGACTCATAGTGACCCTATAGCACTGGGTAGAACTGCCCCGTGGGGTTTCCAAGGCTGTAATATTTATGGAAGCAGACTGCCACATCTTTCTCCAGAGGTGTGGCCCCAGGGTTGGAACTGCCAACATTTCAGTTAGCAGCCAAGGGCTTAACCACTGCGCCACCAGGGCTACTTAGGGTCAAAACAGTGGGCACAAAATATCCTCTAGGTCAATACAGCAGGCTCAAAACATTCTCTTCATTTCTGTAACACACCTAGAATGGAACATCACAAAGAGTAGGAAGTATAGTGATTAATTTTCTCCATACTCATCTTTTTCTGTAGAGAATAGGTTATCGAAGTCAGTTGCCATAACTTGCTTGATTTTTTTCTTTTGCTTCTGGCTTCTCCCCAGGTATTCTATGAAGGCAGGAACAATATCTTCCATCAGTATAACTGATGGTGAGCAAAAACATTGGCTGAATCCATGGATGTGGAATCCTGCCATCCTTCTATAGGAAGTGGAAGACAACATTTCTTAGCTCCAGAGGGATCTATGAGTTGCACAGAAGAGCTGAGAAGTTTACTCATGGAGGGTTTGCTAGGGTGAGTGTTGGCACAGCCATTACTAGCCAGGCAATTTACTTAACCTTTTGAGCCCACTGTTTTGACCCTAAGGAGCCCTGGTGGTGCCATGGTTAAGAGGCTGGTTTAACGAAATCCTACGGGGCAGTTCTACTCTGTCCTGTAGCGTCGCTATGAGTTGAAATCTACTCGACAGCAACGGGTTTGGTTGGTTTGATTTGGTTTTGACCCTAAGGAGCCCTGGTGGTGCAGTGGTTAAGAGCTTGGCTGCTAACCAGTAAGTTGGCAATTCGAACCCACCAGCTGCTCTTCAGAAACCCTATGCGGCAGTTCTACTCTGTCCTATAGGGTTGCTATGAGTTGGAATCGACTCAACAGTAACAGGTTTGGTTTTGGTTTTTTTTTTTTTTTTTTTTTTTTTTGGTGGGGGGAGGGTTCCAAGACTCTTTTTTCATTTATCTAAAAGAAAGATTATACTGACTGGAATAGAGTGGTTTATGAAGATGAAATAATGCCTGAACAACGCTTTAAAGTGCCGAACATAAAGGACTTAATAAATGTTAACCATGTGAAGCCTCTGGCAAGAGGGTAGAAGTGTAGGAGTCCTGAGGGAAATGGGGCTGACAACTTGAAAGTGTCCAGGTACAGGGTCAGGATCCTTGCCCCTGGACTGGAGTTGAGGGTGGGATTGCCAACATGGAAACAAAACACAATTAGGAAGAAGCCTTTGCACTTAGAATGGAAGGTTGCCAGTAAGGGAATTGTTCACAGCTGACCAGGTCCTCACCCTAAGAGGAGTACTGGCCTTGTGGCACAAGTTAATTCCAAATCTACCAGTTTCATCACCACCTGTCTGTCAGATTTTCATTTGTGAGAAATAAACTTTGGTGTGTTAAACCACTGAGCTTTGGGGGTTAATTTGTTACTGCAGCTTAATACAGCATCTTGTATTTTGTTTCTCTTCTCTAGAACATGTGTGATGAAAGCAGGGAGGGATGGTGTTTAGTTTAACACATAACCTAGCACTTAGAATAGTGCTGGACATCTAAAAGATGCTCAGCTAATACTTACTGAATGATTGACTACTGTACTTAAAAAATTTTTTCAAAGAACATCTTTATGGGGCTCTACTCATTTTGCTTTTACTGAGATCCACAATCAACGCCCATGGAAGCAGCAGTAAAGAAATTAGACCACGTATTGCATTGGGCAAATATGCTCCAAAAGACCTCTTTAAAGTGTTGAAAAGCAAGGATGTCACTTTAAGGACTAAGGTGCACCTGACTCAAGCCATGGTATTTTTCAATCGCTTCATATGCATGCGAAAGCTGGACAATGAATAAGGAAGACCAGAGAATTGATGCCTTTGAATTATGGTGTTGGCAAAGAATATTGAATATCCCATGGACTGCCAAAAGAACAAACAAATCTGTCTTGGAAGAAGTACAGCCAGAATGCTCCTTGGAAGCAAGGATGGCAAGACTTCTCACGTACTTTGGACATGTTATCAGAAAGGACCAGTCCCTGGAGAAGGACATCATGCTTGGTAGAGGGTCAGTGAAAAAGAGGAAGACCCTGAACAAGATGCACTGACACAGTAGCTGCAACAGTGGGTTCAAGCATAGCAAAGATTGTGACGATGGAGCAGGACTGGGCAGTGTTTCATTCTGTTGTGCATGGGGTCACCAGGAGTCAGAACCGACTCAATGGCACTTAAGAACAACTCATTTTGCTACCTTTTCTAATATTTTTAACACGCCACTCAATTAAGGTTCACTTTTTATTTCCAATTTTGCTGGCTTGCTTTTCTTTCTTAAGGTAATGTTGGTATTTGTGAATTTGGTTGAAATCTTTCAGGACAAATGCAGTTGTATTCAATTTCCACTATTCACTTTTTTTTTTTTTCCTAATGTCCATTTCTCCTTTCTTCTGGTTTTCTGAGTTCTTTTGCCAACTTTTAGATTAGGTATAGTTAGTGTATTTCTCTTTTTTGGTAACACAGACATTTCTGCCTTAAATTCTTTCTAGAATTAGGAATACAGCATTATGAATTTTCTCATAATTACAGCTTTGTGTTCTGTAAAATTTAATAAGTAGTATTTATAAATAATGTTGTATAAAAATAATACATCCTAGAATTCTCTGATCTAAATGTGAATATTTCTTAATCTTCAATTATTGTGATACATTTTAATGACAACATTTACTACACAGGAGTTCTAAGAATGTAGTGTGTAAAATTTCTAATTTTTATACTTCACATAGATCTTCCTGTTCCCAAAGTGAAACTTTTGTAAAGAAATCATAAATACTTGAAAAAACATATACTCGCTATTTGTCCAATTTATTCTCCACAAAAATCTGCTAAATCCATCTTGTTTTTCACCGTTGACTTGTCCTGTCAAATCTACAAGGGATACTAAGGCTCCTGCTGCCGAATCGATCCCATTTCTTCTTGCATCTATCTTTTCAGTAAATTGCTTTTTAGAATAGTTTTAGATTTACAAAAAAATTGCACAGATAATACAGAAAGCTCCCATACACCCCACACCTAGTTTCCGCTATTATCTTACATTAATTTGTTATGATGAATGAGCTAATACTGATACATTATTAAGTAAAATCCATACTTTAATCATATTTCCTTAGTTTTTACCAATGTTTCTTTTATTTTTCAATATCCAGTCTGTTCCTTTTCTGTTCCAGTTGTCATATCTCCTTAGACGCCTGCTAGCTGAGACACTTCTCAGACTTTCCTTGTTTTTGATGACCTTGAGAGTTTTGAGGAATACTTGTCAGGTATTTTGTAGAGTATCCCTCAGTTGGGAACTGTTTGTTTTTCTCATTATTAGACTGGAGTTGTGGGCTTTTGAGAGAAAGACCACAGCTATTCTCATCACATCAAGTGCGTATACTATCAATATGACTTCTCACTGTTGATGTTGACCTTGATCACCTGCCTGAGGCAGAGTTTTTCAGAGGTTTTTCCACTGTAAAGTTACTCTTCTTCTTCTCTTTCCAAACTGTACTCTTTGGCAGGAAGTCACAATGCACATCCCACATTCAAGGTGCAGGGAGTTATGCTCCTCCTCCTTGAGGCTGAAGGATCTACATACATTATTGGATATCTGCAGGAGAGATGTGTCTCTTCTCCCTATTCATTCAGTCATTTATATCAGTATCCCACTGTCGTCCAGTCGATTCTGACTCATAGCAACCCTACAGGACAGAGTAGAACTGCCCTGTAGGATTTGCAAGGCTGTAAATCTTTTCTAAAGCAGACTGCCACATCTTTCTCCTGCGGAGCTGCTGGCAGGTTCGAACCACCAAACTTTTGGTTAGCAGTTGAGCGCTTTAACCACTGTGACATCAGGGCTCCTCTGTATCA